TGGAGAAGGATGTCATGCTTGGTAGGGTGGAGGGTCGGCGAAAGAGGGGGAGGCCTTCAAGGAGATGGATTGATACGGTGGCTGCGATGATGGGCTCAAGTATAGCAGGGATTGTGGGGCTGGCGCGGGATTGGGCAGTGTTTCGTTCTGCTATGCATGGGGTCGCTACGAGTCAGAAACGACTCGACGGCACTTAACAACAACAACAACAACAGGTGTGGGAGGGATGGGAGAGAACACTGCTAGATAGGTAGAGACAAGTATTGATTTGGGTGAAAGGAAGGGCAATCAATGTACCAAATGTGAGTGATCAACACAGTGGCATTGAGGAAGAGGAAGACGTGGAAAGGTACATGAGAGGTACAGACAACAAAGATGAACCCTTCTGTACAGACAGTACTGTGTTGTCACTGATGGCAAACATTTATCTATGGGTTGACAGATGGGAGGACAGGCTGAACGACTAGGTATGTCTGTGCAAGGGGGAATATCCCCATGACCATGTATAGGGTTGGCAGACAATGTTCCTACAAGTGTATTTGTATGTTCTGTAACAATGTCCAGGTATATAGTAGAGCTGAGAAGGGGCAAGGTTGTAGTCACTTCTAGGCTACAGCCAGGAACTTGGAGGGAGTGAGTAGCTGTACCTGTGGGCTTGGGACCATGGTCACAGGGGTCATCAAGCTCAACTGGTGTAAGATACAACACAAAAAGTTTGTTCTATATCCAACTTTGGTGAGTAGTGACTGGGATCTTAAAAGCTTGCAGGCAGCCATCTAAATGCAATGATGGATCTCTCCTTGTCCAGAGCAAAGAAGAATGAAGAAAACCAAGGACATATGGAAATAGTCCTAGCAAGTGGTACACCATGCAATCCTCGGCCTATACAACTATGAGACCACTGTCAACCACTCAGAGGTGGATCTATGTAGGAGATCCTGGATAGAGTGGGAGAACAATGTGGAATAAAACTCAAAATCATTAAAAAAAAAAAAAGGAGGGGGGGGGACCAGGTTTGCTGGTCTGATAGAGCCTGGTGGAACCCATGAGACTAGGGCTCCTAGCTGCCCTTCAGGTCTGGAACTGAACCCCCTCTAGTAGCTTCCAGCCAAACAAAAGACAGGCATATGAGCTGAACATTTACATTAGGTAGATACACTCATTGGAGAGGTCAACCATGAGATAACAGAAGGGCTGCGTATGCACAGAGACACAGCTCAGGGGGCAGGAGTACATGCAAGGGAATGACACAAGGAAGAGGTAACTATGGGGAGGACCTGGGAGGGGAGTTGTTGCATTGTGGTGAGTTGTGGTCAATGTCATGAGACAAAGTGTATGCGAACTGCTGTATGGAAAGTGAATTTGCTCTGTAAATCTTCATCCAAATCACAATTTAAAAAAAAAAAAAAAAAAAAAGTTATGCCTTTATATGGTATCAAATTGACAAAAGGCACTCCAAAGACTAGATAGGAACTTTAGGAGACAGTGAATTTACATTAATGAAGGAGCAACAACTCAGAAAAGGAAAGTGAGAATGGCTGCACAACTTGAATAATGTAATCAATGTCACTAAATTATACATGTAGAAACTGTCCTACTGGTGTATGTTTTGCTGTGTATATTCTCAACAACCACAAAATAAATAAAATTTAGAAAAAAAAATTACATTCCCCCAAAATTATTAAACTTTGGCTTTAGCTGACAGGATTCATTGGTAAACATCTCATGGCCCTTGAATGTGAGAGAAACAAGTAATACCCTGGCTGCAAAGTCCTTTCAGCACTAATTTATCAAAGGAAACTAGAAGTCAGGGATGTTGTATCCTCTAAGTCAGACTTAAATAGGTCCAGAATGAAATGTTCCCTCTCCTTAGAAGGGAACCTTGGGACAAACTGTGGAATGAGGTGCTTTTCAGTCACCTGGGGGACCAGCCCTGAGTTGAAAGGCGGCAGCTGAGACCTGGGTAAACAGTCTTTGGAGGGCAGATTTGCGGAGGATTCCCAAGCTGCCAGCTGAGGCACTCAAGATGTCAGAGAAGACAGAGATGGCCAGAGTAGGATAGAGATCCTATGACGTGAGGCCCCCTCACTGAAGGCTGTGCACCAGTCCCCCACCCTCCAGTGCATAAAAGCCAACTTTCAAAGGAGCTGCCTGGGAGTCAGAGTGAAAAATGAACATCTTCACACTGTTCTGACTAACACCAACCTCCCCAGGCACACAGCATGTGCCCTGGCAAGAAACCCTACTCCCTTCGCCCACCTGTCACGTCTCACTGTTGACCCTCTCTGCTAGTGCTCTCTGCCTTGATTTTGGGGGCCAAACTGCCCCACAGCCTCCTGGTGCTCCACCCACACTTTCCCATTTATTCTCAAACTCCCTACTGCCTGACTCACCCAGGCTTAACACTCACCCCCTCCAAGCTCTTCAACAGCTCTTCAAAGTCACACCTGTCCAGCCAGCACCACACTGGGCACCAGGTGCTTCCAACATGAAAAGTCACCAAAGACAGGGCTTGCCTGACTGAGGTCCCCTTCCTCCTGGGGTCATGTCCCCTTCCCCCACAACTCTACTTTTTTTGCTATGTGACCTTCAGAGATTACTCCCTTTCTCACCATCCTCAACAATTACATAGGGTCATTAATGTCATCACCAGCTTACAAGGAGGACACAGTAAGGATGGGAATAGAGATCTCCTAGCCCAGTCAGACACACAGCAAGCACTGGAGAATGGACTCTTCCAAGCTGGCCCAATTCCCCTCTCATGGAAAGCCTGCTCAGACTAGCCTAGGCAGATAGGACCTGAACCAAATTCTGCATATCAGTCTGAGGTGAACATGACCAGCCCTCCTCTTGTTAGGGGACAAGCAGGGACTCACTCCTTGCCAGCTTGGGGCCCCTAGTAAAAGCCAGGCAGGGAGCATTCTCAGGTGGAATGGAAGCCACCTCGGCCTTCCAACTCCCACCTAGAGTCAGGAAACCAAAGGACCCTGGACATGGGCCAGGCTCCCCCTCATACACCCAACTCTATGTCCCAGAAACAGGATCTCTTGTCTTTCCTTGAAGGGAATGGGAATTAGCAACCTTGGCAGTCACATGTTCCTCCAGTGCTTCAATAAAATCAGGAGGGCTCAGGCTACTGAGGCCTAACTCATATCTCGCCTGCTGCTGCACACCCACTCAGTTCTCCATCCTTCTGGTACAATTCAGCAGCAGGAACACCACCAGAGCTCAGGACATCACACATGGACACTTTGGCAAGAGCAAGGAATGGGGAAGACACACAAACATACTCCATCTCTGGAATTAAGAATCACCGTTTCCCCTGCAGTTGTTTCCTCTCCTCTTCTTCTCTGCTCTCTATCCTCTCACATAGAAGTGATGCCCAGCTTACCCTCATGCTATCTCCAGCACCCCCGGTCCCCAAAGCACACCCTCTTGCCTGACCCCCCCTAACTATCCTGCACTACCCAAGCCATCCCTCAGCAGGTCCAGACCTGCAGGGCCATGAGGGAGGGGGAGCTTCTCTTGTCCTCCTCCTCCAACCAGCACAAAGTGAGACCCACTGATCGCCATTATGAAAATCCATGACAGAGCCACAGAGGCTCAAGCAGAGTGGCCTCTGGAGCTCTTTGTCTGGGTAGAAGACCTAACAACAAGTTGACACCCACCAATTTAGCCCAGCTTGTGTACATGCATACATGCACACACATACACACCCCACTGCAGGTCCAGAGAACACAGACACTGAATCCAGTGTCCAAACCAATAAAGCAGGCCACTGCAGTGTGTCCAGAACCCTGGAAAGTGGTGTGCCATGGCTTGCCAATCCTCAGTCAGGCCTGGACAGTCCAGCTAACTTTATAGGATCCTGGGTAGTTTTACACCTCTACCACCTGGACCTCTCACAAGAAGGCCACCTGTGTCCAATGAGGGGAGGCACACACAACACCCAATATAAGAGGCACTCCCAAAGCTGGCCCGACCAGCTCAGGTTACGGTTTATATAATCTTCTAGCGCTGCAGCTGACACAGCCAACATGAGGGCAAGGTTATGAAAAATGCATACCCAGAGCTTTTGCATTAAAAAAAAAAAAAAAGGACTGTATGGTGTATGACTTCAAACAGGCACTCAAGATACCAAGAAGCCTTCCCAAGCACCCAACACCTGGGCCCCATTTCAGAAATCTCGCAGGTAAGAAGTCCCCCTTGCAGGCTTCCCCAGTCAGGGCACCAACACTTTGCAGGACACCAGAAGGTACCAATTTAAGGGCAGCTCAGATCTTCCAAACCAAACTGAAACTGGCTGGACCCCCAGACCCCACTCCACTGCTGCAGGGACAAAATCATCCAGACCACCCGGGGCAACAAAGCCTGGGATTAAGAGCGAAAAGGAGAACAGCCTGGCAGACACAAGGCCAGTATCCTTCTGCAGACCCCACTCATAGCAACCCGTTCCACACACGCCAGGACACCTCCCTAGCCACCATGCTGGAGGCTGCTCCCGAACCCCACCTGCGGGCAGACCCAGAATGACCCAGCTCACCACCCACACAGAGGCCCACCTGCTCACTACTACTACCCTGATGCTCCCAACGTCCACAGTCAGGGCTTAGCGCACAAACAAGGACGCGACCAAGGGCACATACGCGGGGGGGACACATTCCCCTCACCTGCAGCTCACACCAGGCGACCTCCACCCAGGTCTCCGTGTCCAGCCCCTTGTAAACTGTCTTGAAGGAGCCGCGGCCCAGCTCGATGTCGAACTTGAGGAAACGGCCGTCTAGTGATGTGGCCACGGCCTTGAGGTCGTCCTCGTCGTCTTCCTCTTCCTCCGGTTCCTCTCTCCGGGCGCGTCCGGGCTCGGGCTCCGACTTCGCCTCGCCTGTGCCTGCGTCCTCCTTCCTCTCAGCCACCGCCTCCTCCCGAGAACTGCCGTCGGGGGCTCGCAAAGCAGGAGCGGCGGCTGGGACCGGGTCCAGACCCGAGTCCTGCGCGTCCGCTGCCTCGGAGGCGGAGAGCGCAAGGACGCCGGGGGCGAGGGGCGACGCGGCAGGCGCTGGGCGGCCGGCGCCCCGGGTGCGCTCTGCGATGAGGCGTCGTGTCTTGCACAGCAGCAGCACACGGCGCTGCAGCGGTTGCGGGGGCTGCGCGCCCGGCGCCTCGGCCGCCTCCAGGCCCAGCGGTTCCTCCTGGTCCGACTCCACCACGCTGCGCCGTAGAAAGCGCTGGTGTACCGGCCGGGCCTCGCGCACCCGCGGCGCCGCCGCCGGCTCCGCCATGCCCGCGGCCGCCCCGATGCACCGCACGGCCTCCATCAGCGCCCCGGGGGCATCTCGGCGGCCGCCATCGCCGTCCATCTCTGGGGACAAGGACAAACAGGCCCTGCGTGAGCGCCGGCTGTCCTCACCTGCCCGCAGCCGTGGGATGAGAGCGCACCCGGCCCGCCCGCCGGCCCACAGGGGGAGGCCCCGGGCCAGGCCCGCGGTGTCCCTGGGGGACCCCGGGAGGGTTTCAGCCGGACGAGAAAGCCCGGTAGGGGGGGTAGGCCCGGTCCCAGGGAGGGGCGCCCTGCTCCGTACGGTCCCGCACAGCCCGGCGGCAGCTGCTCCACAAAGGACGCGGGGCCCAGTCGTGCAGGAAGGGTACGGGGAGGAGGCTGCGGCGGCGCGGCGCGCACACAAAGGCGGCCGGGGCGGGGGCGAGCCCGGCACTCACAGGGC